AAAGGTTGAAGCTTAAGTAATGTCTTAAAAGTTTTAATTAACAGATGGTCCTATTTGTTGGACTATGGTCATATTATGAAGAAACGCCCTGATCTCTGCTGGTGGCAGCATAACTCCAGTGTTCACCTGGCATTCTCCTTTCTGTGTGCTTGTCTCACTGTCCAAAGGTTCCCTTTTGACAGGGACAGCAGTCATTTTGCATTAGGGCCCACCCTCCTTTACCGTGTCATCTTAACTAATTACATCTTTGCAACAATCCTATTACCAAATAAGTCACAGGTATCAGGACGAACTTCAACATATGAATTTGGGGGGACACAGTTCATTGCCCATAACAGAAATACTGAGTGCAACTTCCTCTAACCATCAGAACAAAGGAGTGTCCAGGCAACATGTGAGTGCTGTCTGGGCTGACTTTGTCTATCCATTGTCGGTCAAAGGAGCAGCAAGCCTTGGCCAGCAGTTCATGGCTCATAGTCAAATAACTCAGGGGTAGAGAGCATTGTAAGCAAGCAGATAGCCCAGTCCATTGAGTGAATGCTATGTAAAGCACACAACTTAAAGCTAAGGAAATGAAGATCATTGCCACTCACTGTTACTAATCCTTGTATTTTCTAGACTCAGAATATCTACATAGGAAGTATGGGAGGGAAGGCTGATTAATAAGTAATTATTTGCCTTTTTCTTATGTATGATATTAGGAATTACTAAGCACATCATCTATAGCTCTATAAGAAAGCACACCCTAGCTTGTGCACTTTCAGAGAAAAAAATATGCAAAATCTTCTGCAAACTTAACACATGCTTAAGAAAAAGATGCTGTGTTTGCTTTATTATTTTTAATTTGTTCAGACTTATGCATAAGGCTGTGTTAGTGTTTGAAGAAAAAAATTTGTCTTTGGCATATCTTTGGTCTTGTTTTTGTTTTTGCTTTATTTTACTGAGGAACCTATAAACTGGTTGAAAAGGTTAGAAACAGATGTAGGATTGATGCATATGAATGCACTTAATCTAAATATTATAAATACAACCCAGCCAAGAAACATAATGTTAGTCATGAGAATTAAGTTTTAAATTACTTGGCAATGTTGAATGAATGGTGGCTTATTAGATCATGGAGATATTTACTAGCAGCTACATGTCTGCAGGTAGGAACCTGCTTTACCTTTAAAATA